TCAGTATGATGGTGGATCCCATTCTTTGACAGCTAACTCTTTCTCCCATACACTGGGCATGTAGGCACCTAACTCAGAGGCTGTGGATTCCACTGGGTGCAGCAAGGTGCCTAAAAGTTAGGCACTGCAACACTGAGCATTGCAATGCCTAAGTCCCTTTGTGGATCTAGTCCTTAGCCCATCAGTATAGACTGGTAATTAGACTACAGAATCCTACCATAACTCCATCAATTTACTAAAACCTTTTGCATATGTATTAGAGAGATGAAGTGAGTGAGGTAATATCTGTTACAGGACCAAATACTGTTGGCGAGCGAGACAAGCTTTTGAGCTTACACAGAGCTCTTCTTCTGGTCTGGGAAACTAACTTAACGTGTCTCTGCAAAATACAAGGTTTGAACAGATTGTTTAGCATAAGTAGGTAACAGATTTCAAGGGACCATTCAAGGTGAAGTGGCCCATTAATCTATATCTACTTGCAAATCAAAGGAGTTATGGTAGAATTGTATGACCTGATAGCTTTTCATAGTTAGATAAGGAAAGGGGGGGTTGGATCTGGGATTTGGTTTGGCCCATTATAAAGTTAGGGGGGCTTTGCAAAAGTCAGATCTTCCTTTGCTTCAAAACACCCCCAAAAGTTCAAAGATATTTAGATTCAAGACTTTGGTTTGGACCCATCTTCACTAGTGACACATTCTGAATCCTCTTTCTTGCCCAGTGCTCGTAATCCACAAATCTGATTCTTAAGTGGCTCATAGACTCTGTCTTTAATTGTTTCCCCAGCTGCTTTGATGTGCTTGCATTTAATGTCAGACAAAGATGTAGCAGAGAAGCTGGGAAAAATAACAGAGCTACAGATTACAGTGGTCATTAGGGGAAAATAATAGCTTAGAGAGCGGAGGTTGAAAAAATATAATTATGAAACTGTTCACTATTCAAGCAGAGACAACTTCGAGAGCTGATAATGTTATTTATCACTTGTATAGCACTTTGGAAATAGTAACTAATTAATCCTTGTAATGCGTCTGCAAGGTATGTCATTAAGTGTTATTGTCTCTCTGTAGCAGAGGGTAGAAGAGGCATAGAGGTTAAGTGCCCATAAAAGGAATCAGTGTCAAAACTAGGATTAAAATGCAGAGATCCTAGCTCCCATCCCTGTGCTGATATCAGTAGGCAATGTGTTTCTTTAGGGTAATGAAAAATAGTTCCAGGGGGCCCCTTGACTTTTTACACTGTGGGAAGGGGTTCTTCACACATCAGTAGGAAGCATGTACGGAATAGGTGATGTGTACAGGAAGAAAAATGGTGGGTAAACATAATGTTATATGATAATTATACAAAAATAAGTCATTCATATATAGTGCTACGATGCTCATGATGCTTAAGAGACAAATAAGAAAAAGTCCTTTCCCTGAGGAGCTTCCAATCAAAGCACAAAATTCTACTCTCAGACTTACTCAGCCACAGTATTTCTCAGTAGCCTCAATGGGAGATCCACCCATGCAGGGAAAGCAGAATGCTGAGGCTGACTACTGCCCTATGGATTTGAGATAATTTTGCCATTAGTTAAACAATGAGAATTGAAAATAGACCATAGATTGCAAGGCCAGAAGGGACCATTGTGATCATACGCAGGAGATCAGATTATAACACAGACCATAGAACTTCTCCAAAATGATTCCTGGAGCATATCTTCTAGATCAGTGGTTTTCGAACTTTTTTTCTGGTGACCCAGTTGAAGAAAATTGTTGATGCCTGTGACCCAATGGAGCTGGAGATGAGGGGTTTGGGCTGTGGGAGGGGCTTGGGGCTGGAGCAAAGGGTTGGGGTATGGAGGTGAGGGCTGCGAGGTGGGGCCAGGAATGATGGGGTCAGGGTGTGGGAGGGAGCCCTGGGCTGGGGCAGGGGATTGGGGTGTGGGAGGGGCTCCGGGTGGGGGTGCAAGCTCTGGGGTGGGGCCAGAGATGAGGGGTTTGGGATCCAGAAAGGGGCTCCGGGTTTGGGGGGGGGCTCAAAGTTGGGATAGGGGATTGGGGCGTGGGGTTGAGGCACGGGCTTATCTCGGGCGGCTCCCAGTCAGCAGCAAGGCAGGGGTGCTAAAGCAGGCTTCCTGCCTGTCCTGGCACCGCAGACCATGCTGCACCTCGGAAGAGCCCAGCAGCAGGTCCGGCTTCTAGGCGGAGGCATGCAAGTGGCTCCACGTGTGTCTCACACACAGGGATACCACCCCCCCTCAGCTCCTATTGGCCGGTTCTGAGCCAATGGGAGTGCGGAGCCAGTGCTTGGGGCGGGGCCAGTGTGCAGAGCCCTATATCCCCCCACCTAGGAGCTGGACCTGCTGCTGGCCGCTTTCAGGGCGCAGCGTGGTGTCAGAACAGGTTGGGACTAGCCTGCCTTAGCTGGGCAGCACCGCCGATGGGACTTTTAATGGCCCAGTCGGTGGTGCTGACCAGAGCCGCCGTGACTCAGCGCCTTACGACCTGCAGTTTGAAAACCACTGTTTTAGATAAACGTCCAATGTTGGTTTAAAAATTGTCAAGGACGGAGAATCCACTGTGACCTTAAGTAAATTGTTCCAAACCACTCTCACTATTAAAAATTTACACCTAATTTCCAGTCTGAATTTGTCTAGCTTCAACTTCCAGCTACTGGATTGTGTTATACTTTTCTCTGCTAGATCGACAAGCCTGTTATTAAATATTTGCTCTCCATGTAGGTTCTTATAGATTGTAATCAAGTCACCCCTTACACTTCTCTTTGTTATGCTAAATAGATTGAGCTCCTTGAGTCTATCAGTATAAGGCATGTTTTCTAATCCTTTAGTCATTCTTGTGGCTCTTCTCTGAAGTTTCTCCAATTTATCAACATCCTTCTTGAATTGTGGATACGAGGGGAAGGGATGCAAGGCAACGCATGATCATATTGTTTAAGGACCATATACTGGCTCCCTCGCTGTTAAGTAGCACCTTACCGCTCCCACTGATTTCACTGAGAATCCTTTGCAAAGCAAGATACTACTCTCCATATGAGTAAGTGTGGCAGAATCTGTTCCTTAAATTTAATTCAGAGGGGTTTTATTTATGTGAAACTTTTTCTTATAATAGCAACAGTAGATATAGAAAATGAGAGATGCAGAAAGGAAAAGAAGACTGATTTAAATTAAATCATTTGAACATGTAACTTTTGGCAATAATGAGAGTTGTCATTATATACCCTGTTTAACAAAGGGAAAAAATATGTTCCATTATGAACCCTGTACACACTGGGTTCTGTGCACTACTGTTTTGGTATGTAATGCCCTATTTCATGTCATGAAACAGACTTCACATAGACCTCTGTGTGTGATCACGGGAACATAGGACTTGATGTACTGCAGCAGTCTCGTGGCCCATCTAGTCCAGTACTACAGTGGCCAGCACCAGACACTTCAGAAGTCGGTGCAAGAAACCCCACAGCAGGCAAACATCAGATAATCTGCAGTATGAAATTCTTCTCCTAACACCTCATAATTAAAGGTTGGCTTAAACCCCAAAGCTTGAAGTCTCATATCCCTTCCAATACTTTCTTTAGCGTTGTTATAAATCTAGATAGTCTTATCTATATAAATGTTGATCCCTCTTTGAATATTGCTAGGTTCTTGGTCTTGATAACATCCTATGGCAATGAGTTCTAGTCACAATCTGCATTGTGTGAAATAACACTTTTATCAGTTTTGAATACGCCACCTTTCAGTTTAATTCAGTGCCCTTTTATCTTGTGTTATGAAGCAGGGAGAATGGAAGCTTCCAATTTTATCTCCTTTTTAAAATTAATAATCACAGTCTTTTCAACCTCTCTTCATATGAATTTTTCTATATCCATAATCATTCTCATTCCTCATCTCTGAATCCTCTCTGTCTTTATGCAATTTATATCTAAATTCTAAATAGACTTTTCTATACATGCCAGCAATATTTCATAATAAAACTATTCTTTTTGCAAATGAAACAACAGTTCCTTTTTGTTTAGAATAATTACAAATTGGAGTATGTAAGACCCCCATTCTTAATTTTGTACGTTGTAGTCAGAAATCTGTTCAGATTTAACTAGCCTGTTTTTCCTGTCTTATTATCTGTTTTTATTTAATGGAGTTGCTTCACATCACATGTATTTGCTTTGTGTCCATTTCTTCTATTTAAAGAGATGCTGACTTTTTTTTTCTTGTATTTGACCCTGTAGTGAAAACATACTTTTTTTAATGTAATCTTTGTGCAAATTCTAGGACAGACTTATTCAGTGGCAGTAGTTCTCTCTGGCATATAGTGACATTCAAAGGCAAAGTATGAACTGAAGATAAGGGGGAAAGGGAGATTTTAGCATAAAACTTTTTGTACATTTTGATTTGTGGACAGCATAAGATGAGAAGCACTGATAAACAGTATGAAATAGAGCTAAAAAAAAAAACCCAAACCCAACCCAAACCAAACAAAGATACACAAGTCTTGATCTTATGAGCAATATGTTTGACTCCTATGTTTATCCTTTAACCACTTTTAAGAATGAAGGCATAACTCTTCATAAGCACTGGTTAAAATTAATGCAGGAAGAGTTCTATGGTAATTTTATTTCCAAAGTCAATGATCATATTAACAAATCAGCACTGTTTTGAATCAAGCATAAATACTTGCTACTTTCCCCTCCAAGACTAAATTCTGTATTAAAGAATTTCAGTTCCATTTTTATTCATCTAAATGGATTTTCCTCCAAGCTTTCAAAGAGGAGATTTGGTTTGTGCCAAAATTATAACCTTGGAGTGAGTAACAGATGTTGGACTGAAAATAAACAGTTCTAATACTGGCAGAGTTATTGCACCTGTTTCTCCTAGCACCTGTTGTTGCTAGGAGAAAATAAAACCCTTTATCTTTGGTCTCACTAAGGAAACTATCAGTCACAGAGCAAAGAGTACAAAACCTTTTTAAACGTAATTGTCTTCACATGCATGGAATTTGGTAAGTACTTACAGATGTGCCCAGTTTCTTCAGTAGATGATGAAAAAAATTATCAAGCTCCTTCCCCTCTATGTAACCATTGTCTAAATACAATTAAAACATACATGATTGAACAGACATAATTATTGCTCTAACTCTAAGCACAACTTATGTACTATAGAACCATTTTTATGTTTATAGACACTGTGCCAAGTTGGAGCAATGTTCTCTTTATTCCTAAATAAGTCTATTCATCCTTCCTATCTTATGGTACATCACTTAAAGTTGGAAGTTGTTATATTTAATTCAAATTCTTAGCATTTTCATATTTTTAATTTTTCTTTATTATATTGTAAAGATCTTGGCCAAAAGGAAAAAAGAAGCAGTAGCAGTAACAGAGTAGACAAATATTTTGTGCTCTGAGTGCATTCTCTGCAAGGGATATTTATTGTTAAAAAAATATTTTCCCTTATGTAGATAAGGTCAACCCTGTGAAATTCAGGATTTCCTGGAAGGACTGATTCAGCTACTTAGTGTTGGTGGATGCTCAGTAAGTACTTGATTTAAAATAAAATAAAAAAAAACCATCGTTGGTGCGCAAAGAGAACATTTGTCCTGATTTTTGCTGCACGGTGTTAACGCTATCAGCCTGCTTGCGGGCTATCCGGGGCGCAGGCAACATCTGCCACAGCTGGCAAACACAGAAGTACGTGGTAAGTCTCAGACATATATGAAGCCCCAGCCACATGTTACATAGACTCAGGCACCACACTCACGTGCATCACACAAGCACAGGGCATGCACACCTAGGGCCGCACTCAGGGGCACCACGCCCCAGCTACATCACAGGGGGAGTCCCGCATACACAGCCACCAGGTGCCGAAAGATACCCCACGCCCAGCCACAGGGACCCGTCCTCCCAGTCCCGGGACCCCTTGCCTCACCCGACACTCAGCGCCCCCAAGCCAGCGGCGCCCGGCTCGCTCCCTTCCCGCGCCAAGTTTCCCCGCGCGAGCAAACCTCCCGCACCGTCGGCGTCGAAGCGCTGCCAGATGTCCAGGAAGCCGGCGGCGTCCAGCTGCTCCAAGGGGCTGCTGTCCATGGTGCTGCTGGGGGAGAGAACTCGCCCAACTCCCGGCGGCGGCTGGAGCGCTTTGCCCGCCTGCGGTCCCTGCAGCGCGCCGGCCGCTCTGCCTGCCGCCCCCCGCCTGACTAGGGGCGGGAGGTTTTCCAAAGAGGAGCCCGCAGGGAGACACGCCCTGCGCTCGCGCGCATGGGCCCAGGTGAGAGGAAGGGCAGAGGCCGAGCCACCGGGGGGAGAGGGAGAACTCCACTGCAAAACAGCTGTCCGCAGCTGACCCCCCCCCCCAAGTTAAAAATCAACCCCCCATTCCCTGGGGTCTGAGAGCTGCAGGGATGCAAAGAGAGGACACCGCTAACTACATGGGGGGCTCTTAGAAACTGCCTCCCTATTGACCCCTGCTCTGCTCCATACAGGGTGGAAGGGCAACTTAGAGAGTGCTGGCTGGGGGTATTTATTTTAGCATCTCTCACAGTGGCTCTTCCCAAGCCCACCAAAGTCACCTGACGGTCCTGTTTAGGGGGATGTGTGTGGTCTGACTGACATCTGCATATCAGCCTGCAGTAATGACACATACCTAGCCCTTGGAGCTGTCTGTACAGTGCTGTTGAAGTCTTGGTGTATTTTTGTGCAGTGCCAATGCTTGTTTTCCCAGTCCTCTTGCGTACAGTTTTGCAAGATTGATTTGGGTTTGCACATTTTTGTATTTTATTCAAACAAGGGTAGACCTAGAAATTCAAGTACACCTAGAAGCAGGGGGAGGATTGACTTAAAACAAGAATCCTTCATGTTGGCATTGCACAGGCATCCATTTACTCTGAAAAAGACATGTACATGGGTTTTTTTTGGGGGGGGGTTGTCCTTAAATGATATTTTGCATGGAAAATGTGAGTTTTAATTAAAAGAAAAATGTCCTACAAGACTCCAAAAAGTTCCCTAGAAACCAAAATGATAAAAAGAATGCCAGGGTATTTACTAGGATTCTCCAACTCTTCAGTGAAATTAAAGTCACACCTGTGCTGAAGTGAGAGGGAGAATTGCACTGCCAAATATCAAAAATGGGTGCCTAATGTTTGACTGTTAGGGCCTGAGCAAGAGACCATTGAAATCAATGGAAAGACTTCCACTGACTTCAATGGGCTTTGGACCAGGCCCTTAAAGAACTCATTTGTAAGTCGCAAGATTTTCAAAAGTTCTGATACCCAGAAACTCCCATTGTCTTAATTTATAAATATATATGATTTCATTGGGAGCACTGCTGGAAATCCTGCCAATCACTTAGCCAGATACCTAGATACAGATGGAGGAGGCTAACTTTAGGCCCCTGCTTTTGAAAATCTTTGCTTGTAGACATTGCCGTTCACACAGAGAACACTATACCTGCAAATTACTTGCTTTTAGTGATATCACACCTATGAATTAAAAGTTTTTAATCTGTGACCAATCTGTTAGATAAATATAACATACAGATCCATAATGGACCTATTCTAAGCTACCAGAGCCCACTAACCTTTTAGGTAATTGAATAAAACCACTTGGTTGGTTTAAGTAGGGGAAGGAAAAAATAGCTGCCATAGAGTTGAGGCATTTAATTAACAGCATGAGAGCTGTTTATTATAACTATATCACAGCCAGCTGACTGGTCTCCCCACTCTATTCTAGACAAAAGGTTTCTGAGATGTTCAATGGAATGCCTAGGCTGTAAGCAGCCTCAGCCAAAGGCCCCCACCATGAAGTGGGAGCCCCCACAACAGGAGCATTAGGCAAAAAGACAGATAAATCAGGTAGTCTGGGGGTATCCACACAGGTACTCTCATCATCAGGACTGGACACTCCACCATTCTTTATCTGATCACTCCTTTGGGGAAGGCTGCCTCTGCATCCCCCTTACACATCATGGACGTTGAATGGGGTTCAGCTCTCTGGAACCCCAGATCTCTAGCCATCTCTGCATAGGCCCCATGCCTCTGCACTGCTGTAGGAGCTCATGACTCTTTCCTGCCCCTGATGGACCCACAGTTCCACCAGCCATTGCTCCTGAAATGGCTTCCTGGAGGCAGCGTTCACTTACCCTCTAAATTCCCTCAGGCTGATGTAGCAGACTGGCAGTTCCCTGGGTATGCTCCATCACGCTGCAGGGCTGAAACTCTGTAAGATATCTGATAAGGGGCTTCTGCAGGGTAAGGGGAATGATGCAGTTCGGGAGGCATTCCTCCTGTCCATGCACACCCAGCCAGGATCCCTGTTCTATCTACTCACAGAGAAGGAGCATATGGGCCTTAAACAAATATCACTAAAAGTTATTTGCTAGTTATTTATTAACTGGCTTTTAAAAGTATGGCTCTTCCATAAATGTTTGCTCAGAGGCCATTATTGGTGACCTAGGAGACTAAACTTGGTCTTTATAAACCCATTTTAGTTGATTTAAGGACAATATTACCATATTTTGTAATCCTTATGGAAAGTGTCTATAGAATTTAATAGGGACAAAGGCAAGAAGGTTCTATAGAAAGTTAATAAGGTTTAAAATTACTCTAAAACCAACAGAATTTAATACAGACAAGAGATCCTTTCTATAGGGTTTCTTAACCAATCTGTAGAATTCTATAGCATATTTATAATTCTCTAGTACATTTTATAGGACAGTGCAAAGAACGTACAGAAACTTAATAGTTTTCTATAGGATTTCTCTGTAAGGGTATTTCCTAACTTTCTCTTCTGGTCCTGTAGGCAGCAGCTTGGCTCCCTAGCTGTGACATTACAGGAGCAAGAGCAGACAGGGAATGGTAAAATCTGCTTCCTGTTACTGCTGCTGTCCTTTCAGAACCTCCCAGAGCCCCAACAAATCAGGTCCAGGCTTAGGAGGGGAGGGAGGCAAGAGGGACCCACTTGATTCGTTAACCATATAGTCAACTATGTTTTCTAACTCCATGGTCATTTGAACCTTGGCACAGTCTGTACAGTTTGAGGATGGATGGTACTCACTCTTTAGCAACATCCACCTACCCACCCTAGAGTATTATCAGTGATCTGCCTGTGGAGGAGAAAGAACATGGACTCCCCCACCCCTTCCACATCGGGACAGACAATATTAGTATAGGAAAAACAAAGTAGTAGAGGGTAAGCTCCCTTTCCCAGTCCCCACAGCTCAGTTTGGCTCAAAGATTCAGGACTACAATTTATTCCCTCCATCTCTTAAGTCTCCTCTATGTTGCCAGGATGCTATGTTAAATGTAGGAATAGGACTCAATTACAAGAACATATTTCCTTGTTGTTTTCAATGTTACCCAATAGCTTTATCAGTTTCCACACCCCAGTTATCTGATCATAACATCAATTCATCACAGCTCTTCCTTGCCCCTCTCCTCCAACTTCTGAAAAATTACCTTTCTTTAGCTGTGCTCAAGGGCCCCATCCAGGATGCCACCTGGCTGGAGACCATGAGAGTAATGAGCTGGGATCTGCAAGAATAAGTCCTCTGCTGAGGGTAAGAAATGAGAGGGAGAGGTTATGACTTTTCTCCAGATTTCATAGCCCTCCTGAGACCTAGCTCAGGAGCTGTATGGTCAGTGCTACCTGTGCGCCTTGCCTTCCATTCCTGCTTGACCATCTGTTCTGCTTCCCACCCCCATAAAGTCTAACTCCTCCACCCCAGGGCTGGTCCCCTCCCGCCACCTCAGAACCATGCTTCCTTTAGCTTCTGTTTACTGGCCCAGCCCACTGCCTGAGCAGTCTGCCTGCCCCATTCCCATTCTCAAAACTTCGATCCACACACCTGTCCATTGGTCTCACTTTTGTCTGAGATTTCAGGCTCTCTACTCAATCTGGCCAGCCATACTTGCAGCCACCCCATCCCCTTGCACTTGCAGCCACTGGAGAAGGATGTGTGGTGGGTTGGCCATCATGGAGAGAGGAGGAAGAGGGGTAGAGGCTGGCCAGGTTCATTGTACCTCAAAGAAAAGAATGGGAACGTGCCACCACACAGTAGTGGAGAGAGATGCCGTTATTCCATCCTGTCCCACCTGGAGGGAGAAGAAGCTGCAGCTGGGCACAACTTCTAGTAAGTATGATGAAGATTTGCTGCTTCAGACCCCGTCTTTCCTCCCACTCCCCAGGCACCCTGGTGTTTAATCATTAAGAAAGAGGGGGTGGGTGATAATTTGGCATATGCACACACACCATCCCCAGGGCCAGTGCTGGCTCTGTGTATAGGTGGCTAATATGGTGCATCCTTTCTTTTCCATCTCTCACTTCACAGGACCTTCCTGATCTCATCTCTGGCTGTAGCACCGGCTCTTTTACTCCATGCACTCTAGCTTCAGCTGCCATCACAACAGCATGCATGAAGTTGCTCTCCTGGGAGAGGAGCGCACCCTTGCATTTGTTACACCTCCCACATCTGCTGACTCAGCTGGTTAGTCTGTACAACCTCCCCCTAAAATATTGTCCATAAAAACTGAAAAACATGATGAAGGCTCTAGGAATATCTGAGGCTGCACCTCAAAGAAACTAATTCAAGAGAAACTAACTAAAATTGAATGGACCCATAATCCTTAAAAGCATAAACAAATCCTAATATACTGTGCAGTGCCATCAGGAGATAATTTTGTTGGCCTCGTATTTGCCCTCACATATAATGCTGACACCATGCACACTGGTAAAGTAGTTAAAACTTTCCTGAACAACAAAGAGGAGGCGGCAACCCTTAAAATCAAGGCTTGCTCTGTGAAATGAGCTTGGCAGTTTTAGGGCCTGATCCAAAGCCCTCTGGAGTTTTTTCAGTAACTTTCAATGAGCTTCGCTTCAATCCCATGGTTCAATTCCCAGTGTGAAAGCTTCCACATCATAAACCACACCAGCACCACCACCACCGGCCCTACGTGGCAGCCTCATCTCAAAGAGTATGAAGGAGTACTCAATATGAACTAACCTCTCTCTCGTGGAGATAGCCCCTCTGGATCAGAGCTCAGGCCCATTGGCAGGGCAGTATGAGGATGCTGGTACTGCCACTCACTCTGCTGTACCTGTTCAGTGGTAAATACGGGATACCAGTCTCCAGAGCTGTCAAACAGAAGCAGTAAAGTAACAAATAGACACACAAAGGATCATCACTTGGACAGCCTGCACTCCAGACACAAATGTACTTAGGCACGTAAAGATGACAAAGACACTCCAGGAAGGTTGAGAGGGTAAAGGGAAGCAGGGGCGGCT